AGGATGAGTGGCTACGTTGCTTCTCTTTTCTGCTGAGGAAAATAGGAAATTGTTGCCCATCACTTATTTCTTTTCTTTTAACTAAGACAAAAAGCACAGAAGTATGTATATTAACTGATGACTGTTCTCTGGAAACCAGCATCACGAACAAGGAGTCCTACTCAACACTCTCAGGAAATAATGGAGGTTTCTCCATCATTGTATCTTTATTTAGGGAAGTTTTTGTTACTGTGATAATGGTACTCAGTTATTTTCCATTGCCCATCAGTCCAATGGAAAAGCATTAATTGGGTATATAGTGTGTGTGAGGCACTGCCATAAATAATGTATGTATGGTGTGGGGAAGAAGAATAATAAAAAGAATAATAAAAAAACAAAGGACTACTTTTTCCACAAGGATTTAAAAGTCTAGTGAAAGAGTTGGGAGTTCTGGTGACCTAATGCGTAGGGAGTTTCAATGTCAACCCAAAGGTAAATAGCTCAAATCTACTAGCTGCTCCCAGGCAGAAAAGATGGACAATATCCTTCTGTGTGATTTACAGCCTCTGATAACCTGCTGGATAGTTAGCAATGAGTTGGTCTCAATAGCACTGAGAGAGTGAAAAGGGCAGAAAAAAAAGTCTTTCAAAAGAGGTATCTCATTGAGCTCAAAGCAGCAGCCACATCCATGAAAAAAACTAACAAAAAATATTATTTCCTCGGAAAGAGTGAGGCACTTGGAACTCTAACTCAGTCTGAGTCTTGCCACTTCAGGTCATAGGCCAGGTAGTTTGAATATATAATGTAAACTCTCCAAGCCTCCATTTTCTACATTAACTGAGAAGACTAATTCCTACCTACCTATCTATCATACTTCGGGCCTCGGAAAAAGACATCAAGCTGGGGAAAGTGGAGGGTCTGAGGAAGAGGAAGACTCACAAGAAGATGGACTGATCCAGTAACTTTAATAATGGGCATCCAAGATGTTGAGGATGGTACAAGATATGAGGAGGCTCAGATCTCTTGTTCATAGAGTCCCTATATGAGTCACAGTCAACTGGAAGTCAACTAACCATCACCTACCTAGCAGGAGCCCTGCTGGGGCGATGGTTAAAGTGATTAAAATGTTCACACTGTCTGTATACGATCACACTGTCTGCACTTCGGGGCAAAAGACGCAGAAGCTGGCTTCTGTAAAGATTTACCCCTTGGCAAACCTGTGGGCAGTACTACTCTGCGCATTTAGAGATGCTATGAGTTAAGAGTAAGCTGGAATTGATAGTTCCCATTAAACCCACTGCTGTGGAGTCTCGAACTTCCATCGGGTTCCTGAGACTGTAAATCTTTATGGGAAGAGACCGCCCAACTTTCTCCATCAGAGCAGCTGACTTTTCGTTCGGTCAGCAGCACAACATGTAATGCATTATGCAGCCACCGCAACTAACTAGAAAAACAAAGGACACATAAAGATATCAACTAATTTTGGTGGGACCATTACCTTTGAGTTGAAGGTAGAAATGCAGTTGTTTCACAACTGTCCGTTCTTCCCCACAAAAGTAGATAAATATCCCCACTGATGAGGTATTTGTGAGCGGTGCAAACAAAAACAGGTAAAACATTTGATTTTGGGCATCTCTGTTTGACCTTGGGCTTTATTTATCTCCTCGCAATTCAGTTTTCACATCTGTATAATGAAGAACAAACTTCCTGCTAAACTCCCTGCCCATTTTTTTTTGTGAGATTCAACTCGAATGTATATGAAAAAGCCATGTAAGCCATAAAAGGGCTTGGGCGCCTTTCAAATGTTAATTATTTCTACCCTCAGTAATGAGCTGTCCCTTTGAGAAAGCGCGCAGTTTGCTTTGTCACTCTTCTTTCTTTTCGACCTTTATGAATGTTATAATTATAGAAATAACTGAAATGCTATGGTCATTTCTGGCACCAGGTTCCCGGGCCTCGCCCAGATGCCAAGCGGCCCCGCCCGCTCCGGGATGCAGAAATTGAGCCCCTCTCCTCCGCCCGTAGGCGGGCTTTCGCCTCTAGAATCCCCGAAGCCAATCCCGACAGCCCAGGCACATCGCCCCGCCCCTCAGAGAAGAAAAGCACTATGGCGGCTCGGAAGACCGGCAGGAGCAAGAGCCAATCACTGCAAAGGGACGCCCTCATCCGGCAAGGCCCAGAGGCGGGGTCACGAGCCAGGATGGACAGCAAGGGCAGCCAATAAAATTACCGAAATCTGGGCGTGGGGCGGGCGCCGGGCGTTCACAGAGCGGTTAGGGCCCCTAGAACCAAGGGCCCACCGACCCGCCTTCGACTACAGCTCTTCCCTTGACCTATTCTAAAGTTCTCTATCCCAAGGTAGCTGGCTGACCGCTCTGCCTACGAAATGCAGGTTAGGGAAAACTGAGGTGACGGCGGCTCAACCGCCTGACAGGCCGGGCCAGTGACAAAGAACCGGCGGCCCAGGTTGGAACCTGGGAAGCAATCCCTTCGGGGCGGATAGCACAAGTCCCTTTAGAAGTAGGAAAGATGTAACTCACGTTGTCAATCACGACAGGCTGGTTGGCGATAACATCGTAGGACTCCATGGTATAGGAATCTCTCCTTCCCTGGAAGGAACTGCCAGCCCGGTCTGCTGCTAACGCGGCTAAAACGCATGCGCAATCTAGCCGCCGGTAAAGGGCGACCAGAGAAGGAGGGGGTCGGATTTTGCCGCCAAACAACTACAATCCCCAACATGCTTCGCGCCAGGGCTCGCCTCTACACTGTCTTACTAGACCGTCCTTTGGAAAATGCTGCGTTTCCGTCGCACAGTACTCTGGGGTTTGTAGTCTCTCTAGAGAAAGGCTGAAACTCAACCCTTGTGTTGCATGTTTGGATCTGTAGTCCCATTGAAAAGGTTCGCAGTGCATGCTTAAGAGTGTAGTCTTTTTGAGTACTTCTTTGTAGTTCGATTTGAATTTGTAATTTGTGACTATTTTCATTTTACTGATTAGTCTGGCCCACACAATCCCCAACCTTCCCTGGGCAATACGAAGTTGACATATTTTTATTAACAACCATCGATATGCAGATGAATGAAACGATCTTGCCTGTTAAAATCAACGGGATTGAAACACTTATTGAAGAAGATCATAGACTACGATCTTCAGTACGGATTACATCTAAACCTAGAGAAAATAACGTCCTTATAACCAGACCAATAAGCAAAATCATAAGTGGAGAAAAAAATTGGGAGTGTCAAGGACTTGATTCTCCTTGAATTTACAATAAACACCTACAAAAGCAGCAGTGAAAAATAAAACGATGTGTTGCTTTGGGAAAACCTGCTTCAAAAGGTCTTTTGTAGTGTTAAAAAAGCAAAGATAACCACTTTGAAGGGAGCTCTGGTGGCCTAGTGGCAAGAAGTTGCCCTGCGATCCTAAACGCGTGCAGTTCAAATCCACTAGATTCTCTGCTGGAAAAGGAGGGGCAATCTCCTCCTGTGCCAGATTAAAAAAAAAAAAGTCATTTGAGGGCTAGGTTGTGCCCGCCCCAAGCAATAATACTTTCAGTTGCCTCATACGCATTTGAAAACTAGATAAGCAACTAGGAAGATCAGAGAAGAATTTATACCGTTGGTTTGTGGTGTTGGTGAAAAATACTGAATATATCACAACTGTCAGTAGAATGGACAAATCTGTCCTGGAACAAGTACATTAAAGATGCTGCTTAGAAGCCAGGATGGCAAGACTTTTTTTTTTAAGATGTATTTTGATAGAGAGCTCTGGTGGCCTAGTGGCAAGAAGCTGTGCTGCAATCCCAAAGGCACAGGGTTCGAGGTTACCAGCTACTCCTCGGGAGGAGGATGGGCTCTCTCCTCCTGTGTGATCTGGACGGTCAGGTATGGGTCGGTTCTGACTCGAGAGTCCTTTTAAAAAAATGTACTTTGGCTATGTTATAAGGAGAAAAGTCCCTCCAAAGAACTTTATTCTTGGTAAAGAAGAGGAAGACTGTCAAGGAGCTGCAACATTGTTAGTGGCTGTAACAAATGACTCAAACACGGCGACAGTTGTGGGGATGATGCAGAACTGGGTACTGCTTCATTCATTTGCACGTAGTAGGTTCACTATGAATTGAAACTGACACAACGACATCCAACAACAAATTTTTATTTGTGCCTGTAAGACATTGAAAACAAAACATCTATTACCAACACACTTTAACAGAAAGTTTAAAATACATTTTCATACAGATACACACACATATTTGAAGAACATTGTCAGAATAAAATAATTTGAGTTGTATAAAAGTGGTACCATGTTATTACTACTTATTTTTTTTTCCTGGGTAGGTATAAACTATCCAACAAATAAATACTGAAGATTGGAATTTGGAGTAAGAGAAAATACTATCGCTTAAGGATTTCAGTATCTCTAGCATCTCTTTCATATTTTGTTTCTTGTGGACTTATTTTACTTTCATTCAGCCTCAATTTGAACTTCCACGGCCAGCACCTGGCCTTGTTTTGGTTGCTGATATTGGGTCAATCTGATTGTTATGCCATCCATCAGGTGAAATTCATGTGCAAAGTCTCCATTTGTGATTTTTTTTTAAAAAGTATTTGCAATAAACAAATCATTGAACATACAAAATTCAGCCATTCAATTTCTAGCCTTATTTCTATCACTTAAGTCTGTACTGTCCACCTGCCATTCCTTCTTCATTGTTTCCACCTTTCACATTCCAGTAATCAGTTATCATTAACACATCTTGATTGCATGTTTGGTCACCTTCTGACTGCAAAATCTGGTAAAAATTTTCAACTTCTACTTCTTTGGCTTTAGCTGTTGGTGTATATTTGAGTAATAGTTGTGATAACTGGTCTTTCCTGTATGCATATAGATATTTTCCTATTGCAACATTGTACTTCAGAATGTTGTTGTTAAGTGCTGTGAAGTAGAGTAGACCCATATCAATCCTATGAACAACAGATCTGAACCCTGTCCTATCCTGTGGCATCCTCACACTTCCTGACACATTAAAGCCCGTTGCAGCAGTCACCGTGTCAATACATTATTCTTCCTCATTTCAACTGTCTTCTAATCTGTGCTCTACTACTACTGCTGTGACAACTACTACAACTATCGATGTTCCTTTACTGTTGATAGGGTTTTTAGAGGCCTTGTTCAAGAAGTGGAGGGCTAATCTTACTTCCTAGTCTGTCTTAATCTGGGGGTCTACTAAAATCTGTCCAACGTGGGTAACCCTTGTGGCATTTGACACACCAGGAGCATAGCCTTCAGTATCATAGTAACCCAAAAATTATCACAGTATAGCAAACTGACAGACAAATGTGCCAATTAGAACAATGTTCTCCCCAATCACAACAGACTGGATACTTCAGGATAAAATTGGAGCTTCAGGATATAAATTGAGATTGGCCTTTAACTAAGAGTGCAACACCATTCTTCCTCTGTTTTTCATTTCCAGCATAGTAGATACCAGAACACTTAACTGTGCTCAGACAAAACCTATATATTGTCTGAACAAGGAAAGGAAAAACTACACGGTTTAAAATCAGGAAAGATGTGTGTCAGGGTTGTATCCTATCCCCATACCTGTTCAATCTGTATGCTGAACAAATTATCCAAGAAGCTGGACTCCATGAAGAAGAATGGATGGCATCAGGATCAGAGGAAGACTCATCAACCTGCTTTAAACATATGACACAACCTTGCTGACAGAAAGTGAGGAGGACTTGAAGATCAAAGACTACAGCTTTCAAAGTAGATTATATCTCAATATGAAGAAAACAAATATTCTCACCACTGGACCAATAACCAACATCATGATAGATGGAGAAAAGATTGACACTGCCAATGACTTCATCTTACTTGGACCCACAAATCCACACTGTTGGTACCAGCAATCAGGAGATCAGAAGAAATACTGCATTGAGAAATTCTGTAGTCAATGATCTCTCCAAATTATTGAGGAGGAATGTCTAAAAAGGAGCAGAAGGCCGGGAGGAACATCTCTCTGAAAATGCCAGAGGGAGTAAGAATAGGATGACCCCTCACCACCCCAGAGTAGAAAGCAGATAAAATGCCCATATCTAAGCTCCATGGTTCCACTAGATCCATTGCAGTAGTAAGAGGTTTGTTTATTCATTGCTGACTCCCAGTTATGGTACTATCAATGGGTTTATTAGAAAAGGAAGTTGAAGAGTGGGAAAGACAAAGAATATCACCTAAAAGAAGTCCAGGTTTAGTCCAACAGTTCCCAAGGCACAATTCCTCAAGTAGTCCAGGTTTTGGTTTCAGTTCAGCAGTCAAATCCAACTCATCCAGCAAGATTTGCCTTAGAGCAGTTAGAAGTCAACTTCTTCAAACATCCAGCAAGAAGAGCAAATCTTTAACTGTGGCCAGCACCAATGCAAGAAGTCCCAGGTCACACCTTGTCATAGTTTGTTCACAGCAATTCCACAATCTCTCTACCACCCGGGTCTCGCTCTTACCAGAGTTTTGTTGTCACAGCCTTGTTTGCCTTAAATCTTGTTTCAAGTCTTTCTCCCTTCAAGTCTTGCTGCTCAGTATCAGAAACTTTCTCTTATCCTAGTCTCACAGCTGCTGTTGATTTGCAAGACCATACTGATTTGCAAAATCATGTGTCTGAAGTTAAGGTAGACCAGAGGGGGCTAACTAATGGCTTTAAAAAAAAAAGCCAACTTTTAGTCTCACTCCACAAGCAATGCTGTCAGTCTGAGGACTAAGGTATGCCTGATTCAGGCCATAGTCTTTTCAATCACTTGAATTGAATCACTTGAATTGAAAGCTGGACAGTGAGTAAGGATGACAGGGATGACAGAAGAAGAATTGAGTTGTGGTGTTGAAGAAGAGTACTAAATAAGAACAAAGAGATATGTCTTGGAGAAAGTATAGCTAGAGTGTTCTTTGGAGGCAAAGCTTTATCTCACAAACTTTGACATTTTAGTAGGAGAGGCTATTCCTTGGAAAGGGACATTATGCTTGGAAAGGTGAATGGTCAGTGAAAGAGGAAGACCTTCAAATAGATGGATTGACACAGTGACTGCTGCAATGGGCTCGAGTATGTCAGAAATGATGATGGCACAGGACAGGGCCGGATTCAGGTCTGTTGTTCATAGAGTTGCTATGACTCATTCTCAACAGCACCTAACAACAGTATCTCTTTCACTTTCATGGGGAGCTATACTTGGTATGATTTTGATAGAGGAGGAGATGAAGGTGAAGAGAGTTTATGTGGTCTTATTTTCAGTAATACGCAACACAGAGTGTATGCTGCTTTTTGCCACGTATCTTTTTTAAAAATTTTATTATTTTGTGTGTGTGTGTACCGTCAAATCATATCTAACTGGTGCAGGAGAAGGTTGTTCCTCCTTCTCCAGCAGAGCATCTGGTGGATTTGAACCGTGCACCTCTGGGACAAGTGTATCTTTCCCCTGTTAAAGTTTCAGGGGCCCTATCTGTTTCTATTGATATATCTTCAAATCTGTTTAGTGAAAGATGCTACTGAGGAGAGTTAGTGAAAACAGGAAAATAATTTTCAACCCAGTGCCCGTGGAAACAAAAAAAGAGAAAAATTTCTCCCAGTTACAGAGCGGAAATATAATGGGGGAAAGCAGGTTCGTAGTGGACAAGGG